GCGTGCAGCGGAACGGGACGCGGAGAAAGTCGCGCGCACTAGCGTGCTCCCTCGCGCAGCGGATCGGGATGGCGGGGAAATTTGGCGCAGTAGCGCGCGCCTGCGTGCAGCGGATTGGGACGCGGGAGAAGTCGCGCGCACTAGCGTGCACCCGTGCGCAGCGGAACCGGACGTGGAGGAAGTCGCGCGCCCAAGCGCAGTGGATCGGGACGTGGGGGAAGTCGCACGCACTGGCGCGCGCCTGCGTGCAGCGGATCGGGACGCGGGAGAAGTCCTGCGCACTAGCGTGCGCCCGCACACAGCAGATCGGGACGCGGGGCAAGTCGCGCGCACCAGTGCTCGCCCGCGTGCAGCGGAAAGGGGCGTGGGGGAGAAGTCGCGCGCACCAGCCCGCACCCGCGCGCAGCGGATCGGGATGCGGGGAAAGTCGAGCGCATCAGCGCACGCCCGTGCGCAACGGATCGGGATGCGGGGAAAGTTGCGCGCACCAGCGTGCGCCCGTGCACAGCGGAAAGGGACGCGGGGGAGAAGTCCCGCGCACCCGCGCGCAACGGAACGGGATGCGGGGGAAGTCGGGCGCACCAGCGCGCACCCACACACAACGGATCGGGAAGCGGGGAAGTCGGGATTGGGGAACGGTAGTCGCGTGCCTCAACACGCAACTACGCACTGTCGAGACCGGTGCGAGGGATCATCCGCAAGTGGAAACAACCAAAGGATCGGCCCCTTAGGGACCTGATGGGACACCTCGACGGGCCGGGCTTCAGTCCGGATCGAGACTTGGCCGACGAACCAGGCTTTGGACCGGACCGGAACTTCCGGGGGGGGCATTGGAGTTCAGCCGCGGACTTCTGGGCTAAGACGGGCATTCGAGATCAGGCAGGCACACTGGAGTTCAGACTGAGACCCTCAGGCCAAGACGAATATTTGGGATCAAGCTTGAACCTTCGAAATCAGGCCGGGACCATCAGACTCAGGCCGGGCTATCGGTTTCAAGACGGAACCTCGGACTAGGGCCGGGAGGCTCGACAGTTGAACTGGGAATCGAGGGTTCAGACTGGTGTTCTCCTTTGGTTATGGCTGAGGTATTCGAGATCGGGAGAGAGAACGTCAGAAATCTTATTTAGGAAAGACCGTCACGCAAACGAGCTTATGGTGAAACTTGATCTGGAGTTGTGGCCCCAGTGGGCCCGAGAGTCTAGCTCCGATACGGAGAGCTCCGATGCAGTTCCATGGGATCAGCGGGCTCGCTATAGGCGACACCCTATCGGGTGAAGGATTCGTCCTAGGTTGATGGTGAGATCGGTCGGAACTTACACCGATTTCCCTGACTTAGACGTAAGATCTGTCTCTGGGGATGGAGCAGCGCGGAGAACCCTATCATTTTCGATTAAATAGAAATACACTTTTTTTTCCTTCCAGACGCCGATCTCTTGTCGTTGTGTCTTTGGTCATCTCCAATGCTCATCGAGTGATATTGGACTAACCATTTTTCTTTCAGGTTACAGAAGCCGTGATTGCCCCTCCCACAGGTGACAGACGTGGGGCATCACACAGGGCGCGATCGGCGTGCCGACAGAAAACCATACCCAGTCAACAACGGTATGAATTCGGATCATGAGGATCTTGTCTACATCCAACCGCCCGCGCTGATCGTCATTGAACGCATAGGCGCGATGCCTCTTCTTCATCAACTCTATTATCAACACCCTTTTCCGGGGTAACAGGAACTCCGACTCTCCCACTATCAATTTCTCCTCGTTTCCTTCATTGATACGGCACGGCCCCACCGCTGCTTGCTCCCTCATGCGCAGTATGAATCCTCGTTCATGTTCGTAATAAACCTCCTCATCTTCCATGACGAGAATGGGAACTGGGCAGCACTTCTTATCTATTGTCTTGTACTGCTTTTGGGAACCCTGTTTGAGTCGTCCCCTAAAAAAAATCGGCTTACTGCTTGCGCCTGCATCATCGTTGGGTCCCTCCTTCCGCCCGAAAGTCGATAAAGCAACTCCAATTCCCCAGCCTGGGGACACTCCAGGACCTGTTCCCTCAGGGCCTGAATGGCGTCTGGATCCGCCATATTGTGTGTGGCTACTATATCAATAGCCTTGTTTACGTCCGATAAGCTAAGAGAAAACGTCTCACCCCTTTCTTCTTCCTCTGACTCCATAAGGAGTCTCCGACGCTCATCCTCATACTCCTCGGTAGTAAACGAGCTAGGATTAGGCCAGTTCCTTATGCTCCGGGGACCGGTATTTCGGCAAGTAATTATCTCGTAGTTTCCACATGCCGGATCACACATGATCAGGATCAGAGTTCCGCCGTGTTTATTAAACATCAACGTTTCTGTCCTGCACACGAATGACTTTTCCAAGAGAATGCCATGGTCCACATACGGCATGACGAAGAAGCATGCCCTGGCCTCCACTCTCCCAACCTCGATGAGCACGTTCGATGTCGTCCCACAAAACACCGCCTTGCAGTTGACTCCATGCAAGATACCGCAATCCAAGCGGTCTATCTCCAATCCAAACCTAAGCGCGCCAGCCTCTCGGATGATGTCCATCTCTGCTCCTGTAACCACCATTGCTGCACACTTTGACCCTTTTACCACTAAGTCCACCATCCCGCAGGCCACACACTTTCAATCCATCTTCGTTCCAGTTTTTGCCCATTGTGCCTCCTTTGGCAGAATCACGCTTAGATGGACATTTGTCACTAAGCGTCGAGAGAGCCCCTCCTTTAGCTCATTGAGGAGCTTAGGAGCAGACGTCAGGATCTCTTTCAAGGTTACCAGGTCGTTATGACCCTTAAGTAACCTATCAATTACCTTCTCTACGTCAAACCCTTCCTCCAACCGGACCACATACTTCTTTTTTTTCGGCGCTACATCGTGCAGAATTAACTCGGTCTCCTCCTGGCTCCTCTCTTCGTGGCCGTTTATTCCGCTCTCTGGTCCTCTTCCTGGCGCAACCTTTCATCATGCTCGTCCTCCTCCTCCTCATCCCCCTCCTCCTCATCCTCCACCTCATCATCCTCCACCTCCACTGCCTCCTTTCTCCTTTCTTGCTCTGGCTCTTTCCGCGGAGGTTCCTGGCTAGCACTGACCTTAGCCCGACCTCTGGTGCGAGCCGCCTGTGCCATCCTTCCTTGCGTCGTAGGGGGTCAGACCATCATTCCAGACCGCGGGTCTGATCCCACGGTAGCCACTCCAGGGTACCCTTGTCGCCCTGACACCGATTCAGGGTCAGACTCGTAGAGAAAGACTTTGGGAATACCAGCCCATCAACCCTACACTTCCTCGCATATATCCACCGATTTCTGCTGGTACTGGCCTATTCTCTCCCACAAGTCTTCCATCTTCCCCATAAGGATTGATACCGGCTCCACCTTTTCATCCTCATTTTCTTCATCTGACTCAACGACCACTGGTTCCTCCTCTATCGTCCCTGCCGGCAGCCTTTGAGTCACTTCCTTGTCATATTCAACCTCTTCCACCTTAATTGGTGGATCATTCTTTTCCTGCCACAACCTGAATGTGGCAGGCGGCGCTTGCCGCGCAACTATCCTTCTTTGAGTCTCCCCCTGGAACCTTCCGGTCGATATACTCTCCGAACTGATCGTATATATCACCATCCATATTGGAATAGATCAGTCCGACCTTTTCATCTTCCCGCCTAGTATTACAGAACTGTATGGTGTGGCCTTGCTTGTCACAATATTGGCATATAGTGGTTCTCCAATCAAAACGGAACCTCCCGCTTCCATGACCCCCTTGATTCCCCTGACCCTTGTAGCCTTGGTTATCCCCTTGTCCTCCTCGGTCACCGCCATTCCTACCACGTCCTCTTCCGCCGCCTCTACCTCCATTCCCCTGATTGCCCTGACCTTGATTACCTCCTCCTGCCACACTATCCTGTGAACTTGGCGCGGGTGACGGAGGTGGCGCTATGGGTTGGGCCTGCGCTGCGGGATAGCTTGGCGGTGGCATACTCGCTTGGGGCCAAGCGTATGGTACCATCTGCCAAGATAGGGCTGGACTACCCCATGACACAAAGGTGTTGAACACAGGCCATGGCCACTGCCCGTATGGTGGTATCGCTGATTGTGAGGGTCCCGCGCTACTTGACGGAGCCGACGCACTCGGTGATGCTACTACCACTGCTTGGGGCGCCTGCCCCTTTCCGGAGCCTTGCCCTCCTTGTGTCAGATTGCGCTGTTTGCGTACCGCCTTTGAGAGGTGTTGGGGCACCGGCTCCTTTTCTTCCCATTCCTTCTGGACGACTTTCTCTACCACTGGATCCTTTCCTTTTCCCTGGATCGTCATCACAACTTTCTTTTGTATCACCGCGTCTTTCCCATAACCCAACTCTGCAAGCACGTCGGTGATGATCCTCTTCACTTCCGGGGTCCCTGAGGCGGTCGCATCCCGTTCTTTCCTCTTTCGCCTTTGCAGGCGCATTTGGTATTGCTCCACCTGGTCCAGGCTTCCTTCCTCTACCCCTTTGTCGATAGTGGCCCAGGTGAGCTTCACGCTTCCTCCTCCATGGCTCGTCAGCTCCGCCGCTTTTGAGGCAGTGAGCAATCCCAGAAAAATAGCATACTGCGGCTCCTCAAAGATCCCTGGGACCTTTCTCGTCTTTTTCTTAAACTCGTGTACAAAGGCTCCCACCGTGGTGAAGTCATCCCTATTCATAGCTTCTAGGTCTGAAGTGGTTAAGAAGCCATCGCCCAACTTGTACTTCCTCTGCATTCCATCTTTGAATCTTGCCCACCAACTATCGTTGGCTGCATTAATCACTTTATCCACCTCCTGGTGATACCCATAAAGTACATACTTCAGAATGCGTTGGAATTTTACTACGTCCGATAATCCCACCAGTGCCTGTTCCACCAACTCCAACCATTTTGAAACTTGTTCCCCATTAAAGTGGAAGGTGTTGACCCTTGGGATATTGCTTTGTAACCTCTCTCGCCTGTCCAAGGCCTCGACGAAGTCATCAATTGTCAGAATTTTCCCGGCATCATCAGCTATGCCTCCCGACATCTTGGTCGAACCTCTTACTCAAATTTCCCTGTTAAGAAGAGGAAAAAAACTTTTGTTCAGCGTCCTGACTTACCATGACACCTATTGGGTTTCCTAGACAGTCACTTAGCTGTTCAGATCGAGTGGTGCTACCTATTCCTACCCTTTGAACTTATCTTAGTAGGTCCCATTTTCACCATAGGATTTCCCTTTATGATCTTCTACCTCAGACAATCAACCAGATCAGAGATAAAACTTATTACGTTAACAATGTCCATCCATCATAAATAGCCTGGCAAGGCATTACGTACTTTATCTTTCCTTATATGCCTATTCTCTCTCAATCCTATACCCGGATGTCGTTCCATCAGGGACAATGGTAGGCTTCCGTTATCCCCGACAACTGCGCCACCTGTCGAGCGCATCGGTCGGCACCGCTCAAAACGAGGCGGAACCCTCTCGACCCCGTCACGCAGGAGTTGGTCTAATCCTCGTCGCGAATACCTCTAAAGATTTGACGACGAGGGGAACTATGAGGGAGATATTGAGGCCGAAAGGTCGGACGAACGCGGTCCGTCGATCTAAGGGGAGCTTACTCAAAAGACTTCAAGAATTTTTGTCGACGAACGAAGTCAAATAATCGTGCCAAAAGGAGAAGCCCAGAACGGTCGGGCGGAATGGCGAGAAAGAGGGACGGAGGTTCGCATCCAAGCCCCGGTGATATGTTGGTCGAGAAGGGGCGCCGGACTCTTGCGGCAAGCATCCAGACAAACCTAGTGTCGTTGACCATGGGAAATTGGTGTGCGGCCAGAGCCTGAGAAAACTGTTAAGCCGGTGTTAATTGGACCGCGGGTTTGGACAGCAAAATGGACGGCCACTGAAGGGTTGGACCTAGAGTTAAAAGTTGATGTTTAAAAGGGGACCTAGAATTTTCGGTACCGGCCTCCGCAATTTTTTAGATGGGGCCTTGTTAATTTTTGCGTGGGCTGTTCGGATAGGCCAGAGCAAGGCTCGGGCGTAGGCCCGGTACCGGTGAGCAGCAAATTCGTGGGACTCGACAAAAAGGCCCACTTGGTCCTGCATGTGTCCCTTCGGGCCCCGAACAGGCCCGGGGTTAGGATCGGGAGACGGGACTGGTACCAGGGCGCTGCGAAGTTTCCGACTTCAGCGGCATATTGGACTGCTGGAGCCCCGTGGGCCAAGGGCCAACAAACTTTATAAGCCCAACTGGGCCCAAGAACGGGGGACTTCTCGCAAGCATACGAGCTAGAGGCGAGAAACAGACCACGCCCAGGATATGAGAGTGAGTACGGGGCATTAGCTAGTCGTGGAGGGCTAGCTCAGGAAGGGAGGTGTGTGTTAGCGACCCACGAAAGGACACAGTGAAGGTGGACATCGTGCACCGAGGGGGCACGATCCCCGCACGCACAAGAAAGCCAATGAACGGGGCTTCTTTTTCCGGCCAGTGAATGCACTGATTATGAGTGAAAGGGTAGATCGAGCTTGGAAGGAGACACGTTCCCAATAGTACGATCAAGGACTGGACCTATCTCGACGTTCGAGTGGGGGATGGTGCACAGGTAAAGGGAACGAGGTGAGAGCGAGCGAGCTATGTTACCGCGCATTCATTGAACGCGGGTTTCGAGTTCAGGTTTTGAATGTGCTGAACGCGCGTTCACTGAACACTGGTAAACGCGATTGACGCGTTTGCGCAGGGGCGTGTGTGGGGTGGGGGGGGGCTTTGGGCAGTGTGGGGAGCGGCGACGGTGCTTGGGGGGGTTGTCGGCAGTGTGGGAAGCGGCGACGGTGCTTGGGGGGGGCTGTGGGCCAATGCCCCAGGCGAAACGGGCAAAAACAAAAATTAAAAAAAATGTGTGTGTGTGAATTTGTGTTTGTGTGTGTGTGAATGTGTGTGTGAATGTGTGTGTGTGTGTGTGAAGGGTCTTTTTTTTTTTT